GGACCTGGCCTAGCTATACCAGGGCGTCAATGGCTATATCATGAACCTGAGGCTGCCGTACGACTGGGGATGCCTTGTCAATGTCACAAGTGCCGTAGCCTACCTCCCGCTCATTCAGATAAAGACGTTCTGTGATGCGCGAGCCAGCGGCAAATCTTTCAAAACATACTTTTATGGTTTCATTCAGAAAGTTGATATGACTATGGATATTCACCTAGTATCTGTGCGGTCAGTATGTAATGGCTCCTTCTGAGTGTGGCCTCCATCACAGCCCTACTGAAGTTGGATCCAAGCCGTTCCTCCACCCATTTACACCATCATATATTTTTTGTGTTAAACCTTGCCGTTTTGTAATGGCCAGGAGAAACCAGGTTTCGGAGTTCAAAAAGTAGCCAATGAGGCGGCAATAAGTCGCTGGAAAAGGCTTAATTTCTCGGCTAACCCGCTGAGTGTGTGATTTTGGTCGAGACTGACAAACGTAGATGAGTTCTCCCCAGAGAGGCGAATAGGAGCTTTGTTAACCAGCTGATTTTAGATAAACTGTCAATGGTTCTGGCGTATCATATGGTCACATCTGTAGTCACCGAGCGTGCGATAAGCGCAAGACAAAGAAAAGTCATTCAAATGCAGAAATAATATTCATATGAAAAGGCACCATTACACTAGCAAAAAAGGTATCTCACGGCTGACAAATTCAAGCTGCTAAATTTCCAACATCGTTCGTGCGTGCCTGCAGAAGGTCAAAGGGTTGCCAGTCGAAGGTGAATTCCATATTGTGATCCGTAGAGTGATAGCCGAAGCGCGCGTCACCGGTCAGTGGGTACGCAGTGGTTGGGGAGCATTAAACGGATCCAAGAAAAAAGAAGCTCGCCGAAGGGCATATAGAATGTCCGAACAATGTTTTTGTCCAAGTTAGTGGCAGTAATTTTTACGGTAGCGGTTGGACTCTTGTAATGATATCGAGCCTATTCAGAGTTTATTCATGTTCTCCTAAAAGGCTCGTACGCTACTGTTCAGAAGACGGTGATCCAATTAAAATGGAAGCAGTCCTCATGGATGATAAGATGGGTGACTGAAATTATGATGTCTAATTTGACGTCAGAGTGTGTAAATAGAAAAGTTAAGGCACGCTCCTCGCATCTTGCAGATTTCCCACATCCTTCGGGGAAGACTAAGACGGCTTTGCCTCGGACGAGCTTTCCGACGGCGCTTCCATCGTTTTTTCCAGCTGTGGAAATATGATCACGCAGGAGTGACCGCCTTTGCTCTCAACCATCCAAAGGCGTAGAACATTGACTGGCTTCTCGAGCGATGAAGGGTCTGGAGGGCACCGTCCTCGAGGATGGGAACGGCGGAATATGCCATCCATGTTAGTCCCGTGTGCGGAAGACGTCAATAATTAATGTCCCTAACTAGCTTTATTGAAAAGTCCTTGAGGTTGTAATATTATGATTTCTGTTCAGAAGATCGTGAGCCCACCAAAATTGAAATAATGGTCACGGTGGAAGACAGTGATGAGTTTAGTCTCCTGA